CTTGATCTGTCTCTGATGAATCCTCTCACTGCCCCTGCATCTCTGGCCTGTACGCCAGTTCTGTATCCATAAATAAATAAATCTTAAAATAATAATAATAATAATAGCAATCCCTCCCTCCAAGGAAAGAGACAAGCTTACTCCCCATTATAAAATATCTGGTTTCACTAGATTAGGGTCTTTGTTCTGCTGTTCAACTCGTTGTATATGCATTCCTCTTCACAAACTATTTTAGAAATTGGGGGGTGGGGAAATAGCATAAAATTGATGATACTCTAACAACCACCATTACTATACATTATTAACTTCCATTGTCATCAAGAGTCTCATGTCTCTTCCAAAATCTGTGAAACTATGTCAGGGTAACTTAATAACGTGTAAATATAGTAAAGTTGCTGCTGTTTCACACCTCTAAATGATAATACGATACTTTTACTTGAGGATAACAAAAACTACTTAAGAAGCACATAGACTACTTTGGTCCCTTTCATACTGGAAATAAAAAAGAAAGTTCTTATCACTTAAAGGGATAATGCCAATTATGGAGATAGCTTTTGTTTCAATCAGTGCCATTGTAAGTATGTGTGTATTTATGTGTGTAGAGGGGGAGATTCCTAATCCACAGTTGTGGCTCTCATGTACCACCACATGGCATCACCCAGAGAACATTCTCTCTACTGAAAGTGCAGCAACATGGATGGAGCTGGAAAGGATCACACTTAGTGAAATAAGCCAAAAAGTAAAAGAAAAAGTAGTGGATGGTTTCACTCGTGGCAGGAGCATAAGAGGCTGGGGAAATGGATGTGAGGGCAGAGAATCAACTATAATAAAGAAAAAAATTTCTTTCCAAAGGGACTATAGTTGAATGAAGTTCTTGTTACTGTATTTAGAGTTCACCAATATAATTTGCTGAAGCCACCCTTCCCACGTGCTGCCTTCAGCCAAAGACTGAACACAAAAGGAATGTCTCTGACTGGTGACTTTGCCTTGGCTACAAGTTTCCCAATTGCCTTGGCTACAAATTTCTTCAAGTTGCAATATAAGACTCACCTTTCCTCCTCGTTATCAATGAGTCAGAACTGTGTTATCATTCTAAAGGCTGTCTCTACTTTCTCCAGTTCTTTCCCTTTGTCATTTACTTCTTGCACATTTAACCTTATCTTGGTGGCTGCCTCCTACAGGACAGAAGTCAGAACAGTGATTTATTTGAACAAGTGCATCAAGATGAGAGTTAACGTCAAGTAAATCAATACTCATGGTTTCAATAGTGAACTTCACTAGATCTCATGGATATACTCATCATTAATTATATTATCAATATTATGCTAGAAATACATGTGGAATCATGAGTACTCTACTCTACCATACCATACCATACCATACCGATACCATATCATACCGATACCATATCATGCCATACCACTGGCAGTTTACTCTGATATAGTTGAAGTCAGTGCCAATATTAACATTTCTGTGATCAAGAAAAATACCCTCAACTACTGCTTTGAATGGATTTGGAACTTATCTTTTGTTATGGACTTAATAATTGTTGCATCAGGCAACACCACTCTGATAAAGAGGTAGGAGTCATCGAGCAGGGTACATAATGCAGGACCCTGCTGAAGAGCAAGATCTTGGCCTTTTTATTGATAAACTAGTCATGCAGCATTAGTCATATGAGGAAGTAGAAAGAGAGAGGGAGAAGTAGAAGAAGAAGGGGAAGGGTGCAATTATATTGCTCATCTGTTGATAGCTTGGCATGTAGATCAAGCCCTGACTCCCCAGTCAGCATTTCTTTCTTATCAATAAGGCATTTCTCTGATCAGCTTGTAGGGGCCTTTGTTATACATCACTCAATGCCCTACCCCCCCCTCTGCCCCCGTGTTCCCGGTCATTACCTCATGATGTAAAAGTCAGGAGTAAGTTTATGCATCGGTCCTCAGCCCCCTAGGTTTTCCCTGTCATATACCTCATGATGCATTTTCTTCCCAGGGTGATCTAGCTTTATGCTCTTAATTGATGTGAAAGGTACCTCTTAGGGTTGGGTTCCCATTCTGACATTGCTTTAGGAATACAGAACTGTAGGCAATAAAACAGAGGCTGGATAAGCTGCCTAGCATTAGCAGACCCACAGATAATGTTTCTTAATTAATTGGACAAGAAATTACAAATCTTCCTTAAAAGTACTGACTAAACTATGTGCAAAATGTATACTGCAACAAATGTTGCTTCAATTATACATATTGTGAAAATACTGTGTATACTCCTTAAATTGTCAAAGATTAAGATAAAAGGAAATATTTATATTACCAAATAACGTTGTGAGAATATAATTGTCAAGCTCAAAAAAGTTTTAATTATTTTTTACTTCTATAATTTAAACACTTCTTTTCAAGTTCAGAGAAAATTTCCATATTCCAAATTTCATCTAATTGTATAAGTAAGAACTTTTACATAACTTTCATTTGGAAGTAAATAATCTGAAATACAATGATATGCCAAAGTAAATACCTAGAAAAAAACTCCAATAGAATTATGTTCAATTCTAGGTTATTATCAATATTAACATTGTAAAAGACACTTTCAAATATGAAAATAAAATCTCATTAAATGTAAGCATTGATGATCAAATTTGAATATTATTATTATTAAGCAATATTATTA